CAAACACCAGTTGGCAGCTATAGCCCTCTGAAGTGAAAGAGGCCCATTACCGCCCTCTTCTCGTGCTCAGGAGCTGCTGCTATCGGTCACTGCAGGACGAAAGAAGACGAAAGGAGACACGGACTAAAACACACCCATCTCACAGCAGGCTTCTTTAGCTATCACTGCAGGGCAGGGAGACAGCTACCCTCCTCAAACTCATGCTGCCAACATTTTCATGCACTACAACTAAACAGAAACACGTAGCTGCCTACCAGAATAGTCTTTCATGGGTGAGAAGGCAACCAAGGGCATGGATGCTCATTTAAACACCGCAAGGCTGTTGTCAGCACGGCTGCTGCTCAGAGCCAGCTCATCTTCCCGGTAGCAACATAGAGCAGAACCCCCAAGTTCTGCCCCCGCACCCACACTGCGGTTTGCAAACCCTCCAGCTCCTGTCTTACAGCGGGGTTGGGAGTCCCTCCCAGCCTACTCCCAGGGCAAAGCATCAGAACGCCATGAATCTCATCTACAGTACTCAAGTTTCCTAGGGAAACCCCTCTATTCAGCCAGCTAGCAGTAGCTATACCATGGCATTTACTTCCCTAAAACTGAAGGTGTGTTGGTTTTTGACTACACGACAAACTCTCTTTTTTATTATTTATCTCTGGTAGTTTGGATCCTTACGTTAATGGACCTACTGTATGCATGTATTATCATGTAAGTGATTGCAAATCATGTTAGGTAGAAACTATAAGTTTTTTTTTTTAAAGCAATACTAGTTTCCTAACATACAAAGTAAAAACTAAACACCTACCTCATAGGACTGATTCAATAGCACAATGCATGTACAGCATCTAGCACAGTACCCTGAACATAGCAGGAGTTCAATAAATGAGAGATCTTATTTGACTTAACTATCATCAGTACATTATTAATTCATGGCCAAACCAGCCATGGTGAAACTTGCCATGCCATATTACCATGGCAAGAATTTTTAATTTAGTTTAAAATGTATGACATATTTGATTGCAAACTGGATTGGAGCCAGTTTACAATCCCAAATAAATTATTGTGTTTGACTATACTACAAGGCTATAGTAACCAAAACAGCATGATATCGGTACAAAAATAGAGACATAGACAGATGGAACAGAACAGAGAACCCAGATGTAAAACCATCTACCTACAACCATCTGATCTTCAACAAGGAAGACAACAATGTACACTGGGGAAAAGAAACCCTATTCAATAAATAGTGCTGAGAAAATTGGATAGCAACATGTAGAAGAATGAAACAAGACGCCTACTTCTTACAAAAATTAATTTAAGATGGATAAAAGATTTAAATCTAAGGTATGAAACCATAAGAATTCTAAAGGAAAATGCAGGAAAAAATCTTCTAGATATTGGCTTAGGCATAGAATTTATGACTAAGACCCCAATGGCAATCATGGCAATAGTGAAAATTAATAAATGGAATTTGATTAAACTAAAAAGCTTCTGCACAACTAAGGAAACAATCAACAGAGCAAATAGACAACCTACAGAATGGGAGAAGGTATTCAAAAGCTACACATCCAATAAAGGGCTAATAACCAGAATTTACAAAGAAATCAAGCAAATCAGCAAGAAAGAAACAGACAACCCTACTAAAGAGTGGGCAAAGACATGAACAGAAGCTTCTCAAAAGAAGAAAGACAAATGGCCTATAAACATATGAAAAAATGTTCAGCATCAGTAATCATCAGGGAAATGCAAATTAAAACCACAATGAGACACACCTTACCCCAGTCAGAATGGTTTTTATTAAAAAGTCTAAAAACAATAGATGCTGGTGTGGATGCAGGGAGGAAGGAACACTTATTCACTGGTGGTGGGACAAATTAGTACAACCACTATGAAAAACAGTATGGAAATTCCTCAAAGAGCTAAAAGTAGACCTACCATTCAATCCAGCAATGCACTGTTGGATATTTTCCCAAAGGAGAAGAAGACTTTTCATTAAAAAGACACCTGTACTCGAATGTTTATAGCAGCACAATTCACAATTGCAAAGATGTGGAATCAACCCAAGTGCCCATCAATTCATGAGTGAATTAATAAAATGTGGTATATGTATACCGCAGAGTACTATTCTGCCATACAAAAGACAAATTATTAATAATACCTTTTGCAACAATCTGGGTGGAACTAGAGACCATTCTCCTAAGTGAAGTATCTCAAGAATGGAAAAACAGACACTACATGTACTTACTATTAAATTATAACTAACAGATGAACACACATGTGCACAGAGGGAGGTAAGACTCAGTGGAAATCAAGCAGGGGGGTGGAGGGAAGAGAGGAGGGGCAAAAACCTACCTAATGGGTACAATGAACACGATTTGGGTGACGGGCACACCTACAGCCGGGACTCAAGCAGTACAAAAGCAATCCATGTAACCAAAAACATTGTGCCCCCTTAATATTTTGAAATTAAAAAAACAAATAAATTATGTTTGAACTATTTAAAATAGAACTATGCATACAAAGAGACACTAGAAAGAGAAGAGGGAGGAAGTACAATTCCAGGATACAGAGGAGTTAATTGCTGAAAATGAGCCCTAAATTTAGCTTTGTGTTTTCTGACAGCCAGAGCAAAAACAAAATCATGTTAATTGATGCAACTCATTGTTTGATAAATGGAATTGCACTCATACAGGAAGGGAATTTTTCTCCTGACATTCAGATCTAAGGGTACCTGCTCACACACACACATACCCATCCTTCAGAGGGATGTTTCACTTTATCAGTATTCAATCATAAGGGGCTGGTAGGTGAGCCACTTGGGGACTTTCTTAACATACGCTAAAGAACGTGGAAGCAAACTGCTCCACTCTATTCCAAAATATGGAAGGGCTTTCAGGTTTAGTATCTGTGAAGCAGCTGGGCCAGTGGCTTTGCTCAGCAGCTTGGTCTTAGCCTTTTCAAGCAGCCCATACAGCCTGGCCCCTGCTCTGAGCCCAGTGACCAGAGGGTCCTGTGGCTTCATCCTTGGGTAATCCGTTTCCCACCACTTGCAAACAATCAGAGACAACAGACTTCCCTGGGAAAACCATAATCACCCACAAAGGGGGAGGGTCAAATGGCTAGCAGGATTTATTGGCTTTGATTAACAATAAGGTGTTTGTTTTTGTAGGTAATTAGAGTTCAATAGCAAGCTATAAAGAGTCCCCCAAGAAATTCCAGATTGTAGCTAAAGGGTACTAAAGTATGACTGAATCTAACCATTCATCTTTGCAGACCTCCTGTGCTAAGAAGCTAGTGTTTGATGTAGCACAACCGAACAGGTCTTCAGGGAGAAAATGGCCCTCTGTCTTAACGTCTGCGGAGAAAAAAACCTCCATGCAGCACGTGTGTATCCACATGTGTGTGTAAACAGCACTCCGGCACGTGCCATGCTCTTGGATGCTGCCAAGGAATATTGCATTGATATAATGGTAGCTCAAATCATCTTATTTAAACTGACTATTCAAAGGTCCCTAACCACCTGCATGTTGGTGAATACTACGACAGCTCTGCGTCCTTACAACCATTAGGCAGTTGCTTCCCAGGTAGTCTGATGGGCTGGTTGGTCCTTTGAAGGTGGGAAGATGTTTGCAAAATCCATTTTGATTTATGCCTTTTTTCCCCCCAGTAAATCCTTCTTGGGTATAGGTTCTTAACAACTCGGAGGTGTTAAGACAAATTTGATCGCATCTAATTTTTGAAATAGTATTGGCAACGTGTTGTCACCAATATTTCAAAAATAGTATCAAGATGAATTAACTGTGTGCTTAGAGGCAATTGCTCATTTTGCTTCACCAAGCCCTAGATCGATAACATGTGATTTCCTCCTTAATCTCAGGAAATAAACATAACATTATTTCTACTCTCTGTACCCACACCATGATATCTTATAAGTACAGAAAAGCCAAATACCAAACTTGTCTCAAGGAGTGGAAAAAATTAAAATGGGACCAGATAAACAAAAAGTAAAGCCACAGATATGGAAAATACTAGAGGAAAACAACTGCTTTTATACTTCTTATACATTGTCTTTATTCTTGCAAAAGCTCAAGTTAACAGTTAAGGCCCCAGACATCTTACTGTCTAGCATTAGGTCATTAGAAAACCTTTACAATAATTTTTCCCCCAAGAATGAGATTTCCATTTAATTATGTTCTATTCAATCCAATATAAATTTTCTCACTGTTTTGCATGCTCTGGCCTCCTCAATTTAACATTTTTTAAAGTTCTTAAGCAGTCACATCACCATTTTTCCTTCAGAGAAACACAAAACACACACGTACTCCAGGATAAAGAGCAAACCCTCAGCCCACGGTTTCAGAGCCAGCTGGCTTTCTGCCGCCCAAGGCCTCCTACAGGTGACCGCAACCTTGGGCCAACCACTCAACGTCTCTGACCCTCTGTTTCCTCATCTGAAAAAAAATGAGGAGGTTGCCACAGATCCCCCCTGAGGCATCTGTGGGCTCTAAGGTTCTATGGTTATTTCATCCTAAAGGGAAGAATTTCCATGTGCAAATGCTATGTAGCTGTTCACTGCATAAAACTGAGATACTGAATCCTACATTCAGAAAGCTGGACTTTGTTTGGAACTGGCCCGAAAAGAAAAAGTCAACAGTATAAAGATAAGTCCCATTATTGGAATGATAAACTTAGAGTGAATCAGAGATCCTGCTGATCTGGGAAAGGAAACGCAACTAAATAAGACGCTCGAAGAAAAACCTTTTACTGTATTGGCTTTAAGAACAGACATGAACATTAAATTAACATTTCTGCTCTCCAAGCCAGGCTGTTCAGTAGTCTCGCCAGTTCCCTGCAAGGCTGCGACCCTGACTCACTGGCCTGGGTCCTTCATTGTGCTAGCAGCAAAGGCATAGAGCAGCGTTGTTTTAAAACTCACAAAATTCAAGCAAAAAAAAATGTGTATTCAAAAAGGAATTTAAAGAAGCAGAATGACAGAGTCTGATACTTACTTGTGGCCCAGCTCATGAGCGATGGTAAAGGCCAAGTTGAGACCATTGTCTTCGGCGAGCACACACTTCCTCTTAGCACTGCACACACCTCCTAAGTAAGCAATTCCTGCAGCAGAGACACAAAACACATTCTCTTGAGAATGCGGGAGGCCCTGACGTCACCGGGCAAGTCTGCATGGTTAACATCACGTACAGTCGAGAGAGGGGCAAACTGGGACATTGCTGACCCTGGGACTGGACCTGTCAGTCTGGGACCCGCGTGGGATGGGTTTGCGTATGATGCTTTTGTATTCACCCAATAATAGCCACAAATGTCTACCAAGCATTTAATATGTGCCAGGTGGTATGCTGAGTAGTTTATACACATCATCCAATTTTATCCTCATTACCCAGGATGAGGCAAAGCGAGGTTCAGAGAGGAAAGGAAACTTTCCCAGAGTCACCTGGATTGGCACCCAGTGCTGGGATCCTACACCAGATCCGTCCAACTTCAGCACCCAGGGCTGGGACCAGGTGAGGCCAGCCAGACAAGGTGCCCAGTGTGCAAAGTTTAAGGAGGCTCTCCCTCCCGGGAGCTGGCCCTGCACTCGCACGCCCCTGCAAGAGTGTGCCTCCTTAAATTTCGCACCATGGGCCCCTTTCGCCTCACCCTCTCAGGGCATGAGCTTGGATCTGTGCTGGAGCGTACGGAGAACAGGTGTGCGGAACATTCAGAAAAATGTACTAGGAGTCCTTGAAAAAGAGAGCACAACCCAGAGGGAGTAGAGCCCATGCTGGGAGCAGGAGGGCCCTGAAGTCATCAGCGAGGACTGAGCCTGAGGGCCGACTCTCTCTTCTCAGCACACAGGCGCTTGTGCCTAAGGACCTCACCCAAAGACAGGAAAACCGAACTGGCACACACCAGGAGGAACGTGGCACAGGCAGTGGTGTGAGCAACAGGCTGCACGCTGGAGGACAGGAGTTGCAGGTGGGGATGGGCAGCCAGCTGCTGGAGGAGGGATGGGAGTTCTCCGGGGGACAGAGGCTCTTCTGGCAGAGGGATGTGTGTGAATGACCCAGGGGCCTTGGACGACCAGCCATCTGGGGAGTGCTGGGCAGTCAGTCTCAGCAGGGGTGGGGAGGGTGAGCCCCCGCTGGCCACATCTCTGGGGACTGACTCTCCAGGGCCCCCCACTGCTCTCCATGCTTGTGCTCTCCCTGTACCCAGAATAGACATCCCTCACCGCTCAGGGCTTATGTCCACAGGGCCCGCTAGGAAACCTGCCATCCGCCCTTCCATTGGCATCTGACCCCTCTGAGGACAGCTCCTCAACATGACCCTTTGAGATGCACGAGCGGATGGGGGCATGGGGTGCCTGGAGGAAGAGGCTTGGTGCTCCCTGCACTGAGGTCATGCCGGATGTGGCGAGCGCAGTGGCTCTGCAGCACGGTGCCATGCAGCAGTGGCTGGCAACGGTGTGGATGGAGGCCAACCCCACCTGGACTCTATGCAGCAGCACCGTGTCCTGGGATGGGCTGCGGCCACCCAAGGAAGGGGCACTTGCTCTCCACCCCCGGCAGTGTCCACCCACCAAGCCGCTCACTGCTCTGTTCCAAGGGCTTCTTCCACTCACTTGCACACGGTGTCTCAGAAGGGAAGGAATTGGCAAAGGGCAGAGGATAATAGGGCAGGGGAAACTATTTTATTTAAAGGACCCCTCCCTTCCTGTTCCCAAAGAGCTGACCCAACATCCTCTCTGCTGACATCAAAATCAAACTGGTGTAGAGATCAGACACACACAGGGCACTGCCTCCTGGTCCTCTCCGTGAAGCTCAGAGGACGCTCACAGGGCCTGGCTCTGCAGAGAGACCCAGCTCTGGGGCTCACATTCCACACGCTGAGCCCTAGTACCACACCACGGGTCTATTTTTGTTTGGAAACATGTGAAGTGTTTGGCCAAGGTTAAAAAGTTTTTTAAAAAAAGAAACATTATTTGGCCTCAAGATGCTTTTTTGGCACACAGACATCATAATTCAGCAGTGCAGACTATTGGAACAACACAACAACCAGAAAGGGTGAGATCTGGCTTCTCAGTGCCTTCAAGGTCATTATTCTGGTTTCGTTTAAAAATGCTTCGTGAGTTGCTAAAAGTCCATGAGTAGGCAGGCGGAATGCTGCTGCACGGCCCTGATGGCATGCACACCTAGCGCTCAGACACGCACCCAGCAGCGCCTGCCCAAACCTGGCTGCAGTGTCTCTGGGTCAGTGAATCAATTAGCAACAATCAGATGTGCATGCCTGGAGAAGTCGCCTGGTGAGGGGGGAGGGAGGCATAACAAGGCCAGATGTGCTGAGCTTGCTGTCCTGAGCGCACCGGCTGTGGGCTCTGCTGCTGAACCAGCAGACCCTAAATGCCACAGGAACACTTGCCCTGGCCTCAGCCGCACCGTGCACCCGAGCGGGCAGCCCTGACTTTTCATTCTAATTAGGCGGCGTACAATGCTAGGGAAACAGCGAGGCAAAGACCGTTCCAATAACTGCATTTTAATTTTTCCAAGGCGCGGATGATTTTTTTTTTTTAAATTAGAAAACAAAGAATCAATTTATTTACAAGAAATGCTCTCTCACAAAGGCGGATTAAGGGCTAATGGTTCTAATGCTTTTAATGATTTATTCCAATCGTGACCAGCTTGGTCATAAAACCAAGCAAGGAAAACACATAAAAGAAAATAGCTCCTGATAACAGGGCACAAGAGCGGTGTGAGTTTATGGGGGACGGTGTGGAAATGCTTAGAATGCACAAAACAAAGTCTGGAGAAAATCCCAGGTTGTTATAAAAGTAAGAGCTGCGGGGCGGGGGTGGTGTGGGGGGAATAAAGGGTAATTAAGCCATCCGGCTTTGGCAGAAAACAAAGCCCGCCACTATTCCGTGTTTCTGGAAAGAAACCTCAGTCTAGGGAAGAGGGAGCACCGGAGACCCACAGATACCACCTCAGGCTGCAGAAGGCGCCAACCTGGAAAAACCCACCAAATCCCCGTGTCGGCGCTTGTCAAGAAATGAGGAAAAACCAGTTTCTCTGTATTGATTTATTTAAAAAATGAAGTCTATAACACAGTTCTGCTAACTTCAGTGTTGATGTCGAGGAACCAGCCCCTCCTACATAAGTGGAATTCCCTTACGCTAAAGCCATGGTTTCTTAGATCCTAAAGTGATGCTTTCAATGGTTTCAGCCTTCTGTGATTTAAAATTCCCCACAAATCATAGAACTTACTTAAAAATTTAAAAAACCACAACAATTCCACATGTTTGCACAGCTCCTTGGAACAAAAGGGAAGCAAAAAGGCAACTGGCATTTATTAGTTGTGCTGCTCCACGGGCACGTGTGCTCTGACGCTCGGCCTTCCCTTACTTGGCAGTTGTTAATGGCCCCATTTTACAGATGGGGAAACAGAGGCCCAGTAACCAGTTTTATGGTTAATCAGCACCCAAACTGGGATACAAATGCAGGGCTCTCTGCCTCCCACCCCGTGTTCCTTGAGGCAAACCCTGGCCTCCCTCACCAAAGCTTTGGTAACCAAAAAACAATGAATCATCTTTGAGGATTTAGAGGATTTTCATAAATCCTAATGTGTGTGCATGTGGAGATGTTCGTGGAATAGCGTGAAGCTTTGACAGGTTTGGGTC